GAACCGTGGTCCCTGTGCTTTGCCAAGCTTGTTCCAAATAGGTGCTTTAGACCACTGAGCCATCTCGCCAGCCCTAGAAAAATATTTTTAATTCATTTACTTTTAGTATTAATTGAACTTAATTTAAAAGCATTTATCAAAAGTCCTGGGGTTCCATCCCAGTACCAAACAAGAACAAAAAAGGGATATATGTCTGTTGAGATGGTTACCAGCAATGTTTTGAGCTTGTGGAAATCTAGTCACATAGTATGTTTTTTAGAGAGGAAAGAGCTCAGGTCAGGGAACTCTGGGGGCTGAGATTCTTGGGCAGAACATGCAAGGTGGTGCTAGGTGGGCTGGGCACCAGTCATGGAAGCAGAATCAGATGGCCCACAGAGGTCTGCATGACTCCAGATGGACACTGAAAAGGCATCTAGGTGCTGAGGAAATTGTGAAAGTGTATGTTCAGATGTTCAGAAGTGACATTTAGCACACAAGAGAAGATTCCTGTGAGACTGTGAGATGGGACTGCGCCTCAGCAGATTTGCACACTTTAGGGTATTCAGACATGACAGTCCTGTGCAAAACACACACAAACATTCTTTGCAGAGTCCTGAATGAAAGAAGGCTGCATAGCTAAGAGTCCCTGAGTGCCTATAAAGCTACCCCTGCTCAGAGCTGCTGGGAGCTCTGCCTTGAGGTGTTGGATCCCAGGTCCCCTCCAGAATTGAATAAGGCAGGTGTGAGGTGGGGCCAGGCTTAAACCCACTCACCCTAGGTGATGTAGGGATGGAGAGAGCAATAGTCACCACCACCCCCACAAACAGGTGGATAAAGAATATCAAAAAGAATGGCAGAGACAGATTGGCAACACACTTTAATAGTGCCCACTGCTTCCAGCAAAGTTTTAGCAACGCACACTTCTTATCAGAATCTGCAACAGTGAAAACATGCATAATGACAGGCAGAGTTCCAATAAATGCTTCTGCTTTTAGGAGCCACTAACTGCTACAGTGAGTTAGTCCTCATGTAGGAAAGGTTTGGGAACCCTTCTAGTAACCATTATGTTTACCGAGCAAACTGGATAGCAAGGTGTAAATATTCCCATTTTAGTTCCCCCATCATCTGCTTCCTGGGGCTGCATGAGGGCTCCCCCACAGTGCTACCCATGCACGGAGTGGCAGGAAGTGGCTACCAGCCTGCCAGGCATTCCCGCAATGGCCCCTGTGCAACCTGTGGGTGGATGCAATGTGGAGTATCTACTGCACAAGGCACACTTAGCCTAAAAATATAACTGCCAACTAGTCCAGTATCTTCAGAAGCTTAGCAACTTTACGGACAAAAGGGAAAAGTTTAGACACATACAAATTTCTTCTCTTTTTTTTGAGGAATGGGAGATTAAACTCAGACCTTACACTTGCCAGGGAAGCACATATTCCACTGAGCCATCTCCTTGGCCCCCAAATTTCTTAAAAAAAAAAAAAAAAAAAAAAATCACACCTCCTATATTTCAGGAGGTTAAGGCCACAAAAAATGGTGGTAAGGAGATTTTCACTTAGATTATAGAGGACCCTTGCTCACTGGTCCTCCTCCTACCAAAGCTGGTGCAGTAGAAGTACAGGGAAAAGAATGAGGCTGAAGCCAAGCTCTGTGATTTATTTTCTTTTCTAGACTCTGTAAAAACCTGTGGGTTATTAATAGTAGCATTTAGCTGAAAACTTTGCACCTAGCTTTTTTAAAAATCCAAAATAAAGGGTGGATGAAGACAAGAGGAGCTGGCAGGCACAGTGCCAAGACGGTGGGGCAGAGTGCCCTAGCCCAGGCCCCTCCCCTCAGCACCTCTTGTTTGGGCCCACAGCAGTGAGCACAGCTCGGTGGGGGCAAAGCTGTAACCTGCGCTTTTGCCTAGTCTAAAGCAGTAAGAAGCTACATTTCATCCTGCTTCAAACTCTGGCAGAAAAGAATTCTCTGTGCAAACATATACTTGGACAAGGTGTACAACCACGTGAGCTGTACAGCATACTCCAAAATATGCAATATAACTACTAAAATGAAGCCCCCCAATGAAATATGAAAACCTTTACCAAAAATAGTTTATTGCACAAAATTTAGGAATTCCCAAGCACATTTATATTCATAAAAAATCAACATGCTTCTTAAAGATACAAACTGTTCCACATGGTGACACCCTTTCCCAGAACTTCCCCAATCCAACCGATCTATTTTGTGAGGAATTTTTTAATAGAAATGAGTAACTCAAAACCACTGAATTTTTGAGACACTTCAAAAACAGCCCTCAAGCATCCTATCCCCAAAGTCATAGACTGAAACAGATTAAGACTCATACCTCAGAGTTACATCAGGAGTCTTTGGAAGGAATGTCCCACGACAGTTCCCTTTCAAATACGCAGGGCTCTTTCACTCCCAGAATCTTTACACACAACGCTTAGATTGTTAAGAAAAAAATCATGGAAATAGGAATAATATATGTCACGGTTATTCTATAGATGCATGGCTTTTGCAGTAACCCTATTCCAAGGAAAGGAAGGTTATTTTATTTATTTTTTGGTGGAACCGGGGATTGAACTCAGGCCCTTACGTTTGCCTGGGAAGCACTTATTCCACTGAGCCATCTCCCCGGCCCCTAGGAAGTTTAAACTGAGAATTTTTTTTTTTTTTTTTTTTTTTTGGCAGAACCAGGGATTGAACTCAGACCCTTGCGCTTGCCAGGGAAGCGCTTATTCTACTGAGCCATCTCCCCGGCCCCGAGAAAGTTTTAATACAAGCTTCCTCATGTGTCTATACTGTCTTCTTAGGAGGTCAATCCTGTCCTTTGGAACCAGGCCTGAGTACAGTTTCATATTCTTTTGAAAACACTGTCTGTTACTTCTTCCAAGGAGTAGAACAAAGGTGTATAAATCTGTGAGATCTGTGGCATTGACCTGACATATACCATGAAAACAAACAAACAACTTGATGGAAACCACATTGAAATAATTTTCTCCTGAAGAGGAGAAAAACAAGTAATGACATCGTAAGTGTCCAAGCCAATACTCCCTGAAATGGGTGATGACAGGGTATGCGCAAGTCACGTGCACACACAGTGCAGTGGAAAGCTGTCTCACACAGTGCTGCTCCAGGCCTGACTGGCCTCCCACAGTGAATCCCCAAACTCCTGCTTCTGCCCACAAGCACAGCCACGGAAGTCATGGAAGAATCTAGCTCTGGGGGCAGAGGTGCATACAGTCCCCTAGAGATAAAAATCAAAAGCGGGTCATTTATAAACCTAAGCTCTCTTTAAGGTGACTTTGCAGAGTTGACTGGAAGTGCCAGCTTGGGCACAGGGCCTCAGGGTCAGCACTGCAGGCGTGTGCAAAACCAACACACACAGCCAGCCAGGGGATGGGACCAGAAGAGCCAGGCTCTTCCAATCAGGTGGGCTGGGCAATGGCTTGGCACAGGCTGGGGGGTGGAGGGGTGCAGAACAGAGGGGCTGCTCTTCCTGAAGGGAGGAGTCAGGGTAGCCTGCTCTTCGTCAGAGGAAAGCACAGAGGTCTTGAGAAGGCAGCTCTGCCAAAGAATGTGCCCAAGGGTTACTTCCTGGTATAGGACTCAAAAGATAACATAACCAAAATAAATAAGAAAGCAAATTATCATTTCTCTTTTCTAATGGTACAAGAACAATTTAGTCAAAAACAATGTCCAACTTAGATAAAGAGTAGGATATATTTATAATGAAGTTTTCAAGTGTTATTTCAAGATTAACCCTGTACAAATGGTATATACATTTAAGAAATTACAATACTTGCTAGGGAATTTTTTTAAAAACACCAAACATTTTTGTGGTTAATGCTACTTTAACCATATCAATTAACCTTCTAACAATATATTACAAAGAGCACAAACAGCTTAAAAACGCCTGTTTTCTCCACAAACCAGATATAAGCAATCTACTAACAGCACACTGGGACTGATCAGTAACTCTAGCACTTCATTTCATAGGGTATTGGACCTCCCTCCCTCTTCCTTCTAACTTGCAATAGTAAGTATTACTTTAGATTTTCCTAGTAAATCAGGGATGGGGGAGTAGGGATTTAAAGACCTCATCTCTCCTAGCGGAGTCTGCAGCATTAGGACCTCAGATGGGAAACACATCCCAGGAAGACCGCCACAGGTGGTGCCAATCCTAAACAAGGCCTCAGACTTCGAGCCTCTGTTCTGAGGAGACGGCAGTAACCTCGCCCTGAGGCCTGGCAAGCATCTTCCAGACACCACGGCTGACTCCACATGACACTGGCATGCACATCACAGGCCTTGGGGAACTCCATGACAGAAGGCCTACCGCCTACACGAGGGTCAGGTCCCCTCTCCCTCGCTTCCTCCCATACCCTGTGCTCCCCATATGACAGGTCAGTGCGGGGACCTTGGCAGCCTTGCTTTACCTACTCAGTAGTTAGTTAGCCAAGGTGGACCATGCTGGGCCAGCAGTCCAACAGGCCAGTGTTGTGAACTGATGAAGAGACTGGGCAGGAAGGAAGAATGCCCAGAAAAAAAAAAGTGAAAATAAAACAACAAAGGATGATTTCTTTTCGAGACAGGGCCTCTAAGTAGTTTGGGCTGGCCTAGACTATGTCGCCCAGGTTGGCCTCAAACTTGAGGCGATTCTCCTGCTTCAGCCTTACAAGTGCTGAGATTACAGGTATGTGTCACCACACCCAGCTCAAAGAATCTATTCTGTGCAAGAATTTTTGGCTTTAGAAGGTACAGTAAATAAAAATATACTTCTTAAAATACAGTTTTTTAATGGACAACCCTAAATCCTACATGTACATTGTTTCCCAACAGCAAATTTTCAAACGGCAATCAATAAAAGGATAATCAGGTCTTTCTTAAATAATATATGCATATGCTTTTACAAGATTATGACTTTCAGGGCTTATACACACATCCTATGGTGGGATGGCTATTGAAAAAAAAAAAAAGAACTAGAAAGCCAAAAGTGCAACAGGAAAGTAAATAAAGCTCTTGTTAGGCGGGATGGAGAAGAGCTATGCAGGTGCCTGGCGCTGCTGCCCTGACATCCCCGCCCGAAAGTGTCCGCCAGCAATGGGCTGGGGTGTGAACATCCGCCACGCTCAGTGACATCTTCTCCTGCACAAAGTTTGTGAGATGGACACCAAGAAATTCCCTCCCGAGCTCTAAACTTAAGGGGCTAAGATTTGGTCATTTCATGGGAAAAGCTAGCTGTGGTTTCCAATGGCTATTTCTCTAATCCTTGGCTCTTATTCTGTTAGTTTACTCCCTGTTAAAGACAAAAGCAAAACTTAAAATTTTGTCTCTCAGGAAAATGCAGAGCACACAGCTCAATGGTGTGGGTGGTCACTGCTGCAGGCCTTCTCTGGGTGCTCTGCCACAACCCTGCTGCTGGGTATCTCCTCGCAGGTGGATGTGCTCTCCTGGGGGGGATTCCACCTGGGTCCAGGAAGACAACGACTCATGCACAGTGATGGTGTGTTCCTCCATCTGCCGCTGCAGGCTGTCCATCTCCTGCCTGGGGAGAAGGAGAAGGCAAAGGAATGGAAGTCACACAAGGGCCAGACATAAGCCACTGTCCACAACCTCCTCTGACAAGCTTGAGCTGATAGCACCTGGCTCTCTAGTATAGGTGGTGCCTCTGAGACGCAGAACCAGCCAAGGTTAGAGTTCTCAGACCTCCTTCTATCCTTTGTGCTTCTGCTTCAGATAGACACCTAAAACTATGCAAATGACTCGATGCCTGGTGACACCAAGTCACTGTGAGACAGTGGCTACCTGAGGACAGTGTTACACATGATAGCCACTCTCAAGGTCACTTGTTCCTGGTGTTCCACATGACCACAGCACTGGCCTTTCCTGTCTGATATCTGATGGGTGCAGAGTATCAGGGCTCTGCTTTCTGAGGGAACATCAAGGCAATTCACTCCCAGCAACCTCTACCTCATGACATGGAGTAGAGGCCCAACCCACAAGAAGCTCCCACTTTCCAACTATCTGCTCTAGTGCTGTTGGGAGCTGCTAAAGCTAAAATTGATCATATGTGGGAGGGTAGGATGAGACCTCATTACCTAAAGCAGTCAAGCTTAGTCTTTTTTTTTTTTACATTTATTTATTTATGTGTGTGTGTGTGTGTGGCCAGCTCAGCCCATCTGGGGGCGGGGCTGGCTGGCATGTGGTGCTGGGGGATCGAACCGCAGTCCCTCTGCTTTGCCAAGCTTGTTCCAAGCAGGTGCTTCAGACCACTGAGCCATCTCACCAGCCCCCAAGCTTAGTCTTTAAAAAAAAAAAAATATCCTGCCTGGACACAGTGGGCAACCTATGTCTTGCAACTCTGTAAAGGTATAAATGAAGGCCCTCACTCTTGTTGGGGGGTCACTTCACCAAGCAGGCAGATGAGCCACCACCTAACCCAGCTCTTGTCTTCTCAATCTTTCCTCCTTCCTGCCACCATTTATCCTCAGGTACAATGGATTGCGCTGAGACCAGCAGATCCCAACATTTGGTGTCTGAACAGGGACCCGATATGAGATAAATATACACAACAAAACACTTCCAAAGAGTACGCACAGGGAGGGAGGTGAACTGGCTAGAGCCAAATTCAGCACAGGCGTACACTAATGCTGGCACGCGAGGCGTAAAGCTTAGAGACAGAGGCTCATTAAAGCCAAAGAGGGCTCACTACGGCCAGAGAGATAAAAAAGTATGAAACAAGTTAAAAAAAAGCCAAAAACCAGGATTTGATCCCAGGCACAACTTGCTGTGCCAGCCACACCCCCAGGCATACTGAGCTACCAGGTGTGGTGGTGCACACCTGTAATCCCAGCACTGGGAAGGCTGAAAACAGGAGGATCGCTATGAGTCTAAGCTGTATAGTGAGACCCTGTACCAAATGCACTAAAAAAAAAAAAAAAAAAAATTTAGACTGAGTTAAAATGAGACAGTTTCAAAAACCATGGATGTTTGTAGATCTATGCAAAAATGTTTATTTTCTTGGTTCCTATACTAACATTACTAAGACCACCATGAGGACTTAAGAGTAAAATACTGTTTTAAAATCAAGTCCCCAAATGGGACAAAGAGAGTAAAAGAAAGATATAACAGGTAAGAGTTTAAACCCTCTAGCTTTGTTCAATTAGACAAAAAAAAAGTTCTTTTAAATTACAAACAGCCAGGGAGATGGCTCAGTGGAGTAAGTGCTTCCCTGGTAAGTGCAAGGGACTGAGTTTAATCCCTGGTTCCGAAAAAAACCCAAAAACAAAACAAAACAAAAAAAAAACAACAAACAGTTGGTTCCAAGCAACATGGCATGCCAGGGAAAGGAGCACAAACTGGGGTCAGGGAGGGCCCTGTGCTTGGGTCCTGGGCCAACCCATCCAAGATTTCCCAGCCCCTTACACGTCTGTGCGCCAGGTCCAGTCACAGAGGTTGACAAGAGCTGCCAACTACAGTCCTATATGCTTGGTTCTAAGTAACACGGTCATGACTATGACATGCTATGGCCTTGGCTATACACGTTGCTAACATAAAAAATTTGTTAGGCTCAAGACAGTGCCAGTCTCAACAAGAAACATCCAGAGGTCAGAGCCAAAAAACAGCTGACACACCCTGTGGCTGCTGTGCCTCTGCACACAGAGGCCATGGCTACAGAGCCACAGTCTTTTTTTTTTTTTTTTCAGAGCCACAGTCATTTTAAGCTTAAAAAAGAGATGTGGGCCAAAGAAAACCCATTCCAGGTGCTAAGACAATTACGCTACTGTTAGCAGCTTGCCCATCCCTGAGGCCATCAAATAAAGACAACCAAAAACGAAGTCTCAGTACAAAATAGTCTCCAGGGGCTGGAGAGATGGCTCAGTGGTCTAAAGCACCTACTTAGAACAAGTTCAGCGAAGCACAGGGACCACGGTTCAATCCCCCAGCACCACATGCCAGCCAGCCCGCCCCCTGGTGGGCTGAGCTGGCCACACACAC